AACATCTGGAGGGATAAGGTTTTTATTCTACTGTGGGCAACTGTTTTGAATGCAAGGGTGGCGTATGTTTGATGTGTTATAAATAGGACTGACTGTTTGCTCTGGAAAAAGAAAGCAAGTTTAAAAAAAAAAAAGGTTTTGTGTTTCTCTTGGTGTGTTTTGCTTGTTTGAGGCTGAGGGAGTTGGGGATAATTTCCTGTCTTAAAGAATGAAAAAGCTAAAGAGCAGAATATCAAAGTCAGGTATGTAAAGTCCCATGGGAAAGCTGCTTATTAGCAGAAAATGACACCAACTTATGCCTCCCGTATCCGCAAGTTGGGCAGATGAGGACCCGCGGGGTGGGGTGTGCTGCAAATCTGCCCTCCTCTGGGTTCCGAGGTGCCTTGCAGGCACTCCTTGGCTGGGGCAGGTTTGGCTGATGGCGTCTTCCCTCTCAGTTTGTTATGAATTTTGCTGATGATGCTGTGCTAAAAAAAAAAAAAAAATCTCCTTTTTCTTTTTTTTCTACGCATCTTTCACCCCTCTGACAACAGCAGCCGCCGGGAGCGATGCAGCCAGGCCACGGTGCAGAACAGCCCACCCCGCTGCTCTGAGCTGGGGCTGCCCATCTCTTCTCAGGGAGCAGCTTCATCTACTGCTCACAAAACCTCTCCCGATCTTCTACACTCCTAAATATATCCAGGCATATCCTGGCCAAACACACCTGCTGCTTGGCAAAACATGCGGGGCACGGCCCTGTGCTCCTGGCAGGAATGTTAATGGGGTTGATGCTGCAGCCAGCAACGAGGGAAACGCAGCTTTGGGGTGGGAGTGGGTGTGTCAGGGTCCTTCTCCAGCCCTTTGGGTTCTGTTTCGGTTTCAGTGATGGCGTGGGCAGCACCAGGTGACTGATACCCGTCTGTCTGATTCATCTGCTTCGTGTAAGGATGTCCAGTGCGGTATAGCAAGGGATGGATGCTCCGGTTTATTTACTGCCAGCTTGTCCTGGAGCTGGCGGTAGAGCAGATGAGATGAAGGAATGGTGGGTTTTGAGGAGAGGCATGTGGATTTTGTGTCCTAAGTTGGGAGCGGCTGCGCAGCCCTCCCTTGTTTCTCTCCTGCTCCCAGCTGTAAAAGAGAAGCCCTCTTCATCGCGCCTTTCTTCCCTCTGTGTGTACACATACCATTCCTGCCTCTCCCCGTAGCCAACCTCCTGCCGCAGTAATCAGTTTAAACAATAGGTCTTTCACTTCCGAAGATCTTCCAGCACGCGCAGCCCTTCGGTGGGTTTTGGACAGCAAGGGGAAGCTGGATATTGTTGACGTTCCCACGCCCCTGCGAAGGAAGCCGATGGAAGCCCCCATGAGTGGATGGTCTTTAATGCTCTTTAAAATGAGGCTGCAGAAACGGCAAAGCATGGTCAGGAGCAGCCCGTCGGAGGCAAGAAGTGGCCGTATGTCACCCTGCTGGGTTAGTTCTGCAGATGAAGCA